CTTCATTTTCTTCCGCATCTTCTTGTCCATCACCATCCCTGGGACCACCAGGCCAGGGCCCAAAGGGTTCACATGAGGCATGCCAGGGGCAGGTGGGGGACATGGAGGAGGATGGGGACCTGTGGATGGGTATCCTGGACAAGGCTGCGGTGGGGGCACAGGATAACCAGGCCCACATGGAGGGAAAACTGGATTTCCTGGGGGAGCTCCTGGGGGAGGCAGACAGGGGCCAGGAGGAAAGGCTGGATTGACAGATGGTGGATGTGGTGGACACACAGGATAGGAACCTCCTGGGCACCCAGGATTCAGTGGATATGGGTTTGGCCCTTGATGCCCGGCATTGGGATTCCACATGTTCAGGTAGTTCCCCAAGTCTCTGAACAGGTTCAATCCGTCCTTCTCTGCAGTCTCAGCTCACTTCCTCCATAACTACATTTCTCAGATTTTCTTTTCCTGTAAATTTCTGGTTAAGGCAGGCATCAAATTTGGAAACTGGAAACCAAACAACAGCCTTGTAGCAGTTTTGTAGAAGAGTATTGATGTGCTCAGGCCTGTTTCTGCTTTTCAGACAGCTACACCATTGTCCTGGGACGGAAGCTGCACCTTCCCTCGTCGCCACTTCCCTTACATTCTCCCTCACACAAACTCCTGCCCCAGCATGTGTCTAGTTCTGTGGTGAAGGCAGTCAACTTCCCCTAGAAGTCACTGCTACCCGTAGGAAATCCGAGACACTAATACCAGCTCATTCTAACAAGGCTTTCTCACATTTGCCATGGTTCAATTTTTTCCCTGTAGACAGCAGCTCCCAATATCAGAAAAAAAGATAATAGTCTTTCATGGGAAAATTAACTAAAAATTAAAATTGAGTCTATACCTCACACAATTATACATACATAATCTTCTAATTGGTAAATATGATACTTCTCTGACTATGCTCTGATTTCTTTTTTATTTTTAATGAATACAAAATAGTAATAAAAATTCATTATTGAAAACAACACAAAATTTCATTAAACAAAGAAACGGGAATTTAACAATATTCGCTATATTGTACGATATTATCTTCAAATCTGTTGTGAAGGTTACCAGATGTACATGTGTAAAATTGGTTTTAAAAAACCAACACAACAACAAAAATGTATAAGAAATTTAAAAAAATAAAAATAAGAAGGAAAAATTTTAATAATTAACTCCTTCCAGAAAACCTGCAGAAATAGGCAGTACAATTATACAAACTGTCCTGCATATATACAAAAGTATTTTCTTTTTCTTTTTTTTGTTTTGTCCTTTTCCTCATCCCAGCTTTTCCTTCTCATTGAATATTTTCCCCTTTGATACCCTCTATTGTACCTTTCAGATTTTATTTAATCTTTCAGGTTCTCACACTAGTGGGACATGAGGGTCTGATTTATTTCACTTACCAATACAGTCCCTAGTTGCATCCATTTATCTGCAAAAGCCTCAAATTTATTTTGTATCTCTGTATACTCTGATTTGTACAAAATCCTTTTGCAAAAACATTGAAAATCGTGGATTCTATATTGAAAGTTCTAGGAAGGACCATGTCCCTTCATTTATTGGTGTGAGGTCAATTTCTTGGCTCTTATGCTCAGTTTCATGTGCAGAAATCCTCCCCTGATACTCCTGTGGAGATAAATAAGGGTTTTTTCTGGTTTTCTGGCCTTTGGATCTTAGAACTCCACTGTTGCCTGTTAATTTCCCTGTCTCTGACACAAAGAGGGCCGAGAGCCTTCCAAGACTGAAAAAGTTCTTCAAAGCTGAATAACTACTACTCACACCAGGAGGATGGCTAACCCTGATGGGCTAGAAATGGCTCAGTATGTCAGCACAACAAAGGCAGAGTGCACTTTGCATCACATGTGCATGATTTGGGGTACAGAAACCTGTGTCCTCAATATTTATTTAAGGGTATGTAAATGAATGAACGAGTTAATGCTATATTTGGCTAGTAGAAAATAAAATCATGGTATGATTTCAGAACACACAGATTTAATGAGATGAAGAAAATCTCATTCATTGTAATCCCTTTTGAGGGCAGATGTGTGCATTTAGAACATTACCTCTGAGTGCCAAATAGTAGAAGTTGCCCACAACAGCATCTGTAAATGGGGAGACACTGTCAGTTTTCCGCTAACCTGGAAGCATTTTGGTGCATAGTGGGGAGGAGATATTTGTGCAATCTGAATTAGTCAATGGTATAGAAGGGGAGTGAGGGTGAGGTCTGACAGCTGTGGAAAAGAGTGGCAGTTGTAGGGGAATCCCTATGGAAAACTGTAAAGTGGGGTGTTTTCAATATGAGTGCACACATTGCTCTCCACGGGGAGATGGTAGTTTGTTTGCAGATGAAAGCTCTTATGTGAGTGGAAGCTATAATAGATATATTGAATTAGTGAACAGGAAGGGTAACCGATTTTTTTCCTAACATCATATTGTGTGAATAGAAACAAAAAAGGTGCCATAGGGTCCGTGTTTCTGATTCACTTTTGGATGAACCACCACTGTACATTGATGTTTGAGGTACTTTCCTCTCATTTCCGAGACAAAATACCCCACAATCAAAGTTAAAGGGGGAAGTGATTTATTTAGTTTATTCTTTGTAGAGGTTTTGATCCGTAATTGGCTGGTTCTATGGCACTCTCCCTTGGTAAAGGGATATTGCAGAGAGCAGTTCATGATGCCCCCAAAGTATCAAAAGCAGCAAGAGGGACCTTATATTGTATACAGGCAACTCACCCTACAGTGGGTATGGTGTTTACACCCTCCATCCTACTGTGAGCAATACCAAACCAATCAGTAGAATGATTTACTAATCACACACAATTAACAGCAGCATGTAACATTCTAGATTCATCCACTTCTGAAAAAAGCTCTACGACCACATAAAGCTTTCAGGGGGATGTCTGGGCATAAACCACAACATTGTGCCCCTGACCCCCCAAAGACTCATGAATATCTCTGTGCAAGAGAAATTTAGTCTGAGAGTTGTCAAAGTCTGAACAGTTTCACCATTGCTGAAAAGTTCAAATCTTAAGTCTCTTCTGAGATTTAAGGTAAAGTCTTTAACTGTGAGCCCCTGTAAAAATAAAAATAAAAAAACAAAACCTTAAATACTTCCAACATTCAGTGGCACTAGATAAGACATTTCATTTCTAAAAGTCACAAACAGAACACAAGCAATGGTACCAAAACAAGCCCAAAATCCAGCAGGGCAAACATTAAGTCCTGTCATTCCTTATGCAGCATCTAAGGCAATCTGTGGGAAGGTGTGAACTCCAAAGGGCTTGCATCGCTTGAATCCTACAGAATGTCTGGTGACTGTGACTCCCATGGCATTTTGCTTGGCCTGTTCTGTTCTTTCCTTTCAATTTTGCTCAGACAATCCACATTCCTGGTTTCTCCAAACTTCTGGAGTCTCCAGTACTCCTTAGGCTTCAACATCACAGGGTCACTGCCCTTTCAGGGGCACACCTTTATTTACAAAAAAAAAAAAA